GATCGGTTCGATTCGCTTATTGGTTAATCGCAATAAACAATAATCTTCTCAATGAATTTTGAATTTTTAACCTAACCAAAAATTTTATTTTTTATCTGAACCAATAAATCAGATTTTTTGTCACCTTGTTAGATTTTCTGAATAAATTCTGAATTCTCCTCTAAGGTAGATCTAGGACCGGAACCATGACTTGGTCTACGACGAGTCAATCTTGAGCACAAATTTATACTTGAACCATTTTAGGGGTCATTGAATCTCGAAAATAATCACTCATTGAAGCAAATTAATGCTTTTATAACTTATATGTATATATAAATAATATATATATATATACGGTTTTTGGTTCGGTTCTGTTAACTGATCACTATTATTCACTACAAAAAAGCTCTTACATTCCAACGGAAATTTTCCGTTGGAATTCTTTATATTTTCCATTGGAATAGCTATTCCAACGGATATTCCTACGTATAAAAATTCGTGAGAAAAACGGCCGTTGGAACAGCTAAAATCCAACGGAAAATTCTATGGAAATAAATTCCTACAACTAGTCCAACGGAAAAAATCCGTTCGAATTCCTCAATCATCCAACACTCATTCCAACATAAAATTACGATTGTTGGAATATTCATTGGAATTTCCAATAGAAATTTTTGCCGTTGGAATTTTTCGTTGGAATTTAAGTATTTTTTTGTAGTGATTCAAATTGAATTTTTGATTTCGGTCGATTTGGCTCGATTTCAATCCGAACTATCGTTTTACATCATCTCTCCTATTTTTAAATCAAATCAAGTTTAATTATTTTATTTTAAATATTAATTTCAAAATCTCACTAAAAATCTGATTAGTAATTTTTTTTAAAATTAATCATAATTAATAAAAAAAAATCGTTTTCAACTGATATATTTGTATAAATTACACCCCACATAAGGTCTAATCCAGAAAACGAGAAAAGAGAATATTTTCCAAGATTCGAGACTGCATTGATAAAAAAATTTTAAAAAAGAAAAAGAAAAAGAAAAAAAATAACACAATTGCCATTTGGCACATAACATTACAAAATACAGTTTTGTCACGTAGTATTTGTCTTTGCAAGTGACCGAAAAAAAAATAAAAAATAAAAAAATGAATTCAAATTCAACTAGATAGGAATCGTGGTCAGATGAGGACTCGATTTTGTGTAAGAACCCACGCTAACAATGTTGGTTCGAATACGATAAAACGTGTAAACTCGCACTGATAGCCTTGATTTACACATTAATAAGTGAAAAACTCGCACTATTGGCCTTAATTTTTCTCGAAGAAATGACTCGGAGGCGAACTTCTTTCTTAATGTTTTATTACTTTAAACTTGATTATCAAACATACGTGCAAATGTCCTATTTATAATACTACAAACATCATTCAGATTTACATATTTAAACCTACAACTGACTAACAAACTGTTGGAATATTATTTGTGAGTTGTTCCACATTCATTCTATAGAGAAAATGAGTCTAGTACATAAGCCTAGTTGGCTACTCTTCTCATCACCGGTTGGTTTTCGGATGGAACCTCACTAAGGTGCATCTTGACTCATCCTCTTATGGTGCGCTTCATCTGATGGGACCGCACCCTCCTCTCTCTATTCTAATATGGTATCAGGGCGGACCTTCATCTTGTAGGAGGACGCACACTTTTCTCCCGATTCTAATACTATTTAAAATTTAACATAATTTATCCTATCAAATTTGCATGAAAATCCAAGTAGTCGGTTCGCATCAGTTTGTTGCAACTTGTGTTTGACAATCCTTGTAATCAAAACCGTAATATTTGCCGGTGATGAATGGGCCTATCTTTTGCCGGTAATCAAATTAGCACACGAAAATTCCACCGTCACATTTAAGTACTGGTGTGGATCGACATGGCACCGGCAATTGGGCCGTCAAATTTTAGTTTGGTTTTATACGTCTTAACTGGACTTGGGCTCCAAAACTATTTGGTTTGACCCAATGACCCAACACTCACTTGACCTATTTAGAAAAAATTGTTCATATCTTCTACCACTATTTTTCTTAGTGATAGCTAGTGCTGTAAACGAATCGAACCGAATCGAGTTTGGCTATTCGAGCTCGTATTTGTTCCTCTATTTTTCGAGTAAAAAATCGTGTTCGAGTCCGTTCGTTTAATTGTTAGTCAAAATTCGAGTTCGTTCGTGTTCGAATAATTTAATACATAAACCTTTTAAATATGTGTGATTAAATCAAAATTTGTTCGTTCTAACTTCGTTTGAACTCGAAAATAAAAAAATAAAATAAAAATATTTTTATATTTTAGATTTTTTACTAAAAATAGTATGTAATTATATAAAAAAATAAATTAAATGATATTAAATTTTAGATTTTTTATTAAAAATATTATGTAAATATATAAAAAATAAAAAAACCTATATTAAAATAATGTTCGTGAACATAATCGAATGTTCAGAACGTGCTCGTGTTTGTTCGATTATTAAATGAGCCAAATTTTCTGTTCGAACTTGGCTCAGTTATTTGTCGCAATTACGCGACGTTTATTTGTCGCAATTATGTGTGTCGCAGAATAGAAAATTTCAAAAACAATTTTTTTTTAAAAAAATTATTCTTCGATTATACTACGTGTTATGCGTTTGTTGTGCGTAATATTTTCGACTAATAGTCTTAGGTTCATTTCGCCTAAACAAGAATTTTCAAAAAATTAAATTCTACAAAAAAATTATTATGCAACAACTAGGCGAATAATACGCGATGTTTGTATTTCGCAGAATATAAAATTTCAAAAAAAAATTAAAAAAAATAAATTATTCTTCATTTATACTATACGAGTTTTCACAATGTGTGTTGCAGAATAGAAAATTTCCAAAAATATTTTCTTTTTCTTATTATGCACCAACTAGGCGAATAATATGCGAAGTTTGTATTTCGCAGAATAAAAGATCGAACAGAAATCCATACACTACTGCTCTTATAGTCGCTTCAACCCCAGTCGATTACAAATTTTTTAAAAAAAAATCGAAGGACCAGCCTAACAAAAGCTAGGACGAGGGAGCCGACGAGCTACCACAACACTTAGACTCCAGAAATAGGAGCTGTAGGTGGAGCTTGTTTGTGAAGTTCCATGTAGAACTCCAGCATGAGATAGGTCACGACCACCGCGCTCTCAACCGATGGGCTCTGACGGGTTCGGGAAAAAACTCCTTCAATACCAACCACCTTCCTCTGTCAGGAAAACCTAGCCGACCATAACCTCGAGAGGATTGAGGCCAGCATTGCCTTTGACAGAGGGACGGGTTGTTACGCCCCGGCCGCCGACGCGCGTCTTCCCGACCTTCAACCTTCCCCTAGTTGATCCGACAATACTCGGGCCCGGAGGTTTGATCTTCATCATCGCTGTCGCGGTATATATGTTTCTTCGGGGGGGCCACGTTAATAAAGTTGGATAGCGGAATTTCCGCTCGTTGAATTTTTTCCTTCGACGAATTCGGAATGTTAGGAGTTCTCAGTTCGGACACATAAATCTTAAAGAATTGCCTCACGGGTCGAAAGAAAGGAGTTTTGTAATTCTGGTTTATCTCCAGCGAACTGCTTCTCATATACAAGAGAAGGAAAAAACGAAGGGTCATTACCAAAGAGTTCTAGGGGACGGAGGGGTAGAAAGAGAATTGGCATGATAAGTATCGAAGATGACACGCTTTATATAGACGGAGGAAACGATTCGCGTGCATTCTTTTACTGCTAAGGCGTTTCAAAAAGCGGATAAGACGCCTC